TGTGACCAGGAGCTGTGACCCTAACCTGTGGAGTCCCACGCTAACTCTGGGTGGTTAGGCCAGAAGTAAAGTGCACCACGTGGCGTCAGACGCGACTGGAATCAGAACTGCTGGTTCTCGGTGGAGGGGGGCGGTTGAGAAGTTGGTTTGGGGAGTGGGTTGCGATTAGGGGGCAGAGCTGGGAATGAGGGGGAGCTGGGAGTTGGAAGGGGGAGAGGGGCGGGCCCACTCACTGGAGGCAAAAAACATGATGCCTGCGGAGAAGGGCCTCGACAGGCGGGTGAAGGCGGACTGCTGCGCAAAGGCCAGGATGCCCATGACGATGCCCGAGGTGGCGCACAGAGCAGACAGGATCATGAAGGCCCGGGTGGCATTCCAGTAGGCTGTGGGAACACCCAGGTCACTCCCAGGCTGCTCTAGCAGGGACCCTGCTTCCCTGGGACCAGACATCTCGCCCTCTCCTTGACCCCAGCCAGCTGCCCTGGGCTTCTCTGCAGACGCCTTCCTTTCCACCTGGCAAGCTCCTACTCATCCTCCAAAGCCCGTCTCTCAAGACCTCCTCTGAGAAGGTCCTTCGCCTCTCGGGCATCACGCTCACCTCATCCTGATTTCTCCCTGAGGCCAGGGACTGTGTTGGTTCTTGCCGTGAACAACCTCAGCCCAGGTTTGGTTTGCACACGGGTCTGGAGACATGTTGAATGAGCGGTGAGTTCAGATTCTCCGCCCTCCTGCTCGGCATGCTCTGCGCTCTCTCGCTCTCTCGGTGCCCTCTTCCATTTCCTCAGGCCCCTCGCTCATCTCCAAAGTCCTGTTCATTTACTTTCACCTTGTCCACAATGCCTGTCTGTTCCCACCAAATTTTCAGCTCTGTGAAGACAGGGCCTTGCTACCAGGGCCCTAGTACTGTCTCCCACTCCTTATCTTCAACCAGCAACTGGGTTAGGCACCCAGGAAGCAAGTCAAGGGCTCCTGCTCTTAAATTGGGGGAGCAAATTACAGCCGATTCAAGTCTAGTCAGCTGACTTGACAAATACCCAAGAATCCATGCAGGTAGCTGTCCCTGGTTTTGTGGCCCCAAGGATGTCAAAGGAACTGGAGAGCTGCACTAAACCTGGCAGCGATGAGCTGAGGAGGCAACTCAGAGCAGTCACAGGGGGCCCAGGCTAAAGTGGGAGGGATGGAAAGGGTCACCAAGGGTCAGCCACAAGGGAAAAGCATGTGTGGTGTCAGGCAGATGACAAACCCTCCCACAGCTCCCCACCTCAGGCTGTCCCCCAGCAGTGGGTATTGAGCTGCCCCACTCTCAAGGCTGACTCAGCAAGGGGGTCTGCGAAATCTTGGTAAGGATGCCCCTCAGAGGATGTTTGACTATTCACAGTCAAATCTCTCTATTCACACACATCTTTGACCTGCTGGGAGACAGCAGGGGCTTAACCCACACAAAGTGTTAAGAATAGCATGAAGGGAGAGTAAATAGGAGTTCCCTGTGTTTTCGGATTAATTCTTCTGTAAACCTAGTAATGCCCTTGAAACACTTAAAAAAAAAATAGCACGTAGGACACAGTAAGCACTCAATAAATGCAGGCTGCTACTATTATTACTATTACTACTATTAGTACTATTAGTAACTATAATATTAGTTAAATAACATATTA